CACACGCACACACACACGCACGCACGCACGCACGTTCAAATAGCAGGCAGCAGGTGTCCTCGTCTTTCCACTAACGATGAGGTTTGGTACTCATCTCTAACAGGAAGTACGCACCTCGCTGCTCGGTGTGCGGCGAGCCCATCATGCCTGAACTGGGGCAAGAGGAGACGGTCAGGATCGTAGCTCTGGACCGCAGTTTTCATGTCAACTGTTACGTCTGTGAGGTGGGTCGGCTGTTTTTGTTTTCTAAATTTAACAACAAAGGCTGTTCAGTTTTTACAATTAAAAATATATCTATTGTCTCACAGGTGGCAACATTTTATTAAATAAATTCCCTCCTGTCTATAAAATGGCCCACCCCAATTTATAAATGATTTTTGGGGTTAAATTCTTAGCCTTATATCCACCATAAATGTGATATTCTGATCTTGATCAGGTTAGAAATGTCTCTAACAGCTTCATGTTGAACTGTACAGGCCTCAGCAGGTCAAAGGTCAGAACTATTAAAAGGCTGAACACATTTGTCTGATTTGGAAGGATCATCAGGAGAAAGTTCTAGAAAGCACTGAAATGTACCAAGTTTTATCTGAATGAATCATAATCTGAACCGATGTCTGTTGGTCAGATGGGATTAAAGCTGTTTACCTGTAAAGTCGTAACGAAACCATAGAACTAAAAGAATCCGACCCACGACCTCCTGGATCTAGCTTTATAAAGACATCCAACCTGAAAGGCTTTAATTAGCTGGATGTATTCACCTGTTTACACCGTGAAGCTGATGTGACTGAACTGTCTGTGCTCATCAGGAATGCGGTCTCCTGCTGTCGTCTGAAGGCGAGGGCCGAGGCTGTTACCCGCTGGACGGCCACATCTTGTGTAAGAGCTGCAGCGCTCGCCGCATCCAGGACCTGTCGGCCAAAATCTCCACCGACTGCTAACGTCTCCACAGCCTCCGACACGTTACCGGTGGCAGACACGACCTCTCTGCTTTGACTTTGTTTTTCCTCTAAACAGAAGCAAAACCATCACTCCTGTATTTCCTGTTCCACTCTCTCAGCTTCACTCCGTGCTGTCGGTACATTTTCAATCATGCTTATCAGTATTAGTACGACTGTGGCCTGACCTGCAGGCAGCTTGGGCTCCCCTCCCCCACGGTTCCACTCCGGTACTGATCATTTCTCACTTTATGGCCAAGTTTTACAGTTTTTAAAACTGAACACAGAGGCTTTTTGGAGGGACACAATAATTATGATGATAACTTATCCAAAAACTATTTTTGTAAAAACACTGTCAAAGATCTGAGCTGCCTCACGGTTGTCCTGTTTAAAAGCACAGAATCGAACGTAAAACTGTGACTGTACAGAAAAATAACCCGTTTTTTTGGAAAGTGTTTAGGCTTTAGAGCTGTGAAACCTGCAGTGAAGTAGACGAACAGAATGTGTAGCCAACCATTTTTAGTTTTTACTGAAACACTAACAATATTCATTTTTTCCTAATGTTTTTGCTTATTTAGCTTCTGCGACTGAATGTCTACAAAAACAAGCAACCTTTGCTTTAGTTGTGTTGATGCTTGACTGTTATTTGCTGGTGCAATGAAGACGAACGCTTCAGTCTTCTAAAGGAAAGCAGGGTGCCGTGGCCTCAGTCTGAGGAGTTTACYTTTAAACACAAGCTCATCTAAATTCACCTGAAGTTAAAATTAGACCCTCGTTAAAGTGGTCAGACGTTACTTTGCCAACTCACGTTTGGTCACTTTTAAAAGCAATATATATAT